TTTAAATGCATTTGTTTCCATTGTTTTTGTTTTTAATAGCAGTAACAATCATATGGGTTTTGGAATGAAAAATACTGGGTTGAAATGGAGATTTTCATTTTCATTCTTCAGGTCTTAAAAACAGAACTGAGTTAGATCCAGTCACAGAATCCAACTCCATTTGTACAATGGGTTGTTCTCGTCATCATCTCCCCTAACTTGCACATCCTACTTCTACGGACTGAGGATCCTTGTCATTTTAGAAACTAGATTTTTCACACTTATTTCCAAAGAGGCTTTATAAGAGCCCAGTTTCTTTTGATCAGTCACTAAAAAAGCCCAGAACTAATTTATTTACCAAATCCACCCTTTTTGACCTCCTTTCCTGATTTCACAGAGATTCCAGGCCCCAGTCCAAAAGCCATTTGAAAAACATGCTGCCTGTCAACATCCAATAGGATTGTGTCAGAATGGGGTGCAAACTGTACACCAATTTTGGGGAAAACAACTTGAGCCTGTGCTGTAATTGCACTGCTGGACCTATGAAAACATCACACACCAAATGCTTCATCTAAATCTCTTTATGAAGTTTCTGTTTCATGGCTGCTCTTTATTCCCACTGGTAATAACTCAAAATGAGTCAATGGGTCAGCCACAAACAGGCTGCAGGAGAGGAGGAACATTCCAATACTTCGAAGCCTTAAAACAGAAGAAGCTGACAACAAGGATGCTTTGATTTCTGCCTCACCAAAACTGATGAGGAAATGGAAAGCAAGAATTGGGCTTTCTATCCGATCAAGAAGATTCGCTGGACCAAGGTGCTTCAGACCCTAAGATGCCAATGTATTTCTCCTGTTTTCCCATTCCCATTAGTCTTCTCAATCCTGCTATAAGTGTACCTGTGGACTCTGAAACTGCTGAACTTTAATCTGAAATGGATTGTAAATAAGTGCAATAAAATTTAAATTTACCGACAAAGAACTAAAGGGAGACTAGTGTAGCTATTTCGAGCTATGCTAGTCTCCCTTTAATTCTTTGTCAGTAAATTTAAATTTAACACACAAATAGAAGCGACTGCCTGTGAAGGCTCGTAGATTGGGGCTGAAAGATGAAAGCGGAAGCAGTATGCTCCGTTATATATTTGGGTAGACCAGGTTACCCTGATAGACCGGTCTCACTGGAAAACACTTAAGTGCAATTAAGCTTAGCCACATGGGTGACATTGTCTGGGTCCCAACTGTATACAGGTAGTCCTTGACTTACAACCACAATTGAGCCCAAAATTTCCATTGCTAAGCAAGACAGTTGTTAAGTGAGTTTCGCTCGATTTTATGACTTTTTTTGCCACAGTTGTTAAATGAATCACTGCAGTTAATAACATGGTTGTTAAGTGAATCTGGCTTCCCCGTTGACTTTGCTTGTCAGAAGGTCACAAAAGGTGATCACATCATCCTGTGTGATGACCCAGGGCCCCAAACGAGCAACAGACCTTTAATCACTGCCAATGTTCACCCAAAAGCTCCCACATATGCTGGCAAGAGTTCAACCAAGACAGCCAGGGAAGTTTACAATATTCTCAAGACAAGACAGATAACAAGAAAACGTAAAGAGTCCTTTTAACTCTTAGCTTGCCTGCAAACTGCAGACTGCAAGGAATGTAGTCTGTGGTCATGAGGCAGGAAACAAACTGGTCCGGAATTCAAAATGTCCAGGTTACAAGAGCACAAGTCACAACTATCTCAAGATCCCACGTTTGTTCCTGGCAAATGCCCCACCTCACAGTGTCTCCTTAAATCCTAATCTCCAGGTGTGCCTTGTGGAGTGGGGCGGGACACTCTCCTCCAGAGCAAGTGAGCCTGCCTCCATTGTTCTCTCCTCCTCTCTGCTCTCTTTGCTCTAGGATCAGGTGGGGGGGGCTTGCTCCTCGCCTGAACTCTACCTTCCCTGTTCCAAACCTGAAGGGCCCTGGCCTGCTCCTACCTTCAGTCCTCCGAAGCCACAGACACCCCCTCCTGGGCCTCAACAGAGAGGGAGGCATGACACCCCGCCCCGTCAATAAATATATGTCAGTTGTCAAGCATCCAAGTGTTGATCACACGACCATGGGGATGCTATAATGGCTGTGTGAAAAACAGTCCTAAATCACTTTTTTTCAGGCTGTTGTAACTTCAAACAGTCACTAAACAAATGGCTGTAAGTCAAGGACTACCTGTAGTTTATTTATTTCTGGTATTTTTCATATAATTCTTGCCTTCTTCCTGAATCCTGCCAGCTGGTGGTGTAAGGTGTAAGGAAAAATGCAACTCATGTGGGTTTTTCATTCTAAAGATGCCGGCTATTGATAAACATGTCCAAGGAAATGAGTTGCATAAAGCAGGTTAAACAATTGGCCGCTGCGTCTCAGTAAACTATTGTATATTTCTAAGACATACAATGGTTTAAATGTTCTGCATAGAATATTTAATAAATGTCCAAGCTGATAGTTCTGCAATTCCAAAATTATTTGACAATTGCTCTACAGCATATATAGGCAGTGGTGGGATTCAAATATGTGAACAACCGGGTCTCTGTGTGGATGCCGCTTCCAGAAGTCCATTCTGGGCCTGTGCAACAAAAAATTAGCTACCGGTTCTGCCGAAATGGTGCGAACTGACTGAATCCCAATCCCACCACTCTATATAGGGCAGACCCCACACAGCCGCAATTTTTAGTTATTAAATTTTGGTTGCGTCCTTGTTAACTTCTGACAAACTTTCTGGCTCAGTTTCAAAAGTGCTAAACCTGGAAGCAAACTTGCCCAGTCTAGTCCTCTTTTTTTAAGTCTTCAGCAACAGTCCTCACAAGATTAATGATTTCTTATTTTTAGATAATATTTTTTTAAAGTATTTGCTTCGCCTCTCCACAGCTGGATAGAAGAATTGAGGTATTCTCTTCTGACTAAGAGCTTCTTTAATTAATGGACAATGACCAAAAAAATAAACCCATTTCCCACCAAAATTCTGATTTCATTTTTTTTTTATCTGCTCCTAGATTGAATACATCTCATCTAGGATCAGTTCTGTAAGTCCTAGTAAATCAAAAAGTGATTACAAGTAGTCTTTAATGCTCAGCATTGGGACTGGCAACTTATTAAGTAAGAAGTCACGAAGTGAAACATCACAATTTCCCAATTTTACTTTAACTTTAGGTTGTTTTTTTTTTTACAGAACTGCGAAGGTCATAAATGCGAGGACCGTTGCAAAGTTCATCACCGCTGTAACTGTGAACAGTCACTAAACAAGACAGTTGTTAAATGAGGACTGCCTATGTTAAGTCATACCACTTTCTTGACTATGCTGCGGAATATCTAAATTAAGCATGGCGGCTTTACCTGTGCAGAAACCAGGTAGAGAGAGCGCCAGGCAAGGGAAATCACAGCCAATAATCTCACAAAGTAACTGAATGAACTAAAGTTTGTGGTGATCACATCATTTTCACTGGTCAAGAAAGAAGAAGAAGTGAAACCCTGTGCTGTATGTTTGGAATATTAATCCGCTTCTTTTCTATGTCACACAGAAATAATGCCAGGAGGACAAAAAAAGACCCCCAAACCCAAATCCAGAATAAAAAAAACCCCTAACCTATTCAAGTACATAAATCGGAAGGATGCTTTGAACTAGGGCTTCGGCTCTGAGCTGCTCTGAACCTGAAGTGATGCAATTCAGGTGGATTTTAGGAAAGGAAGCCTTACATGTTATTTCAACTATTTTCTCCCCTGCTGTTTTCTGGCTGCTGCTGCTGCTGACCGATCAGCATCGACATCTTGAGCATTACATATTCTGCAGCTTCTGAGCCTCTTCTCCAAATGGACAGCTACTTCTTTTTGCCTAGGACCAACAATGGTCTTCAGGCATAATCCTCATGATGGGAACTATGATCATTACAGAGTAAGCCTACATGTGATGTTTGCTTTAGGGTGGGAAAAACTGAACACAAAACACAACTGGCTCATCTTAGGCAAACGGCTAAAGCAGACATGTCAAACACAAGGCCCGGGGGCCGGATGCGTCCCGCGAAGTGGTTTCATGTGGCCCGCGAAGCCATCCTGGAAACAGTGAGGGAACGGCCCCCGCTGCCTTCACCCTGGCCCAGGCCAGCCAGAAGCCAATGTACAATTTTGTGGTGGCCATCTTGGCACTTGCCCCGGTGGACCATGCCTTGGCACTTGCCCCGGTCCCACCCCCTTCTGCCAGAGACCCTCAGATCTGTTCCACTCCTGCCCAGGCCCCCACAGGCACCCTTGACGTGAATGATGTAGAACTGACCATGCCCACCCAGTAGGCCACACCCACTCCATCCACGCCCACCCAGTAGGCTGCACCCACTCTGGCCACACCCATCCAGCCCCCCAAGGGCAACCGCAGTGCTGATGCGGCCCTCAGTGAAATTGAGTTTACACCCCTGGGCTAAAGTAAAGGCATATTTTCCAAACAGCTATTGTACACCCCAAAGCAGTTTGTGTGTGTGTGTGTGTGTGTGTGTGTGTGTGTATGGAGAGAGAGAGAGAGAGAGAGAGAGAGAGAGAGAGAGAGAGAGAGAGAGAGAGAGAGAGAGAGAGAGAGAGAGAGAGAGAGAGAGAGAGAGAGAGAGAGAGAGAGAGAGAGAGAGAGAGAGATGGGGAGGAGACTTTTAAGTCAAGCAGAAATCAAAGATATTTCTATTTTTGTGTAAGCAAGAGCTATTTTTTAAGAAATTTCAAAAAGTACCACACTTGGAGAGGTACAGATCTTAACAGGAAAGTGCATGCTTCACAAGCATAAAGTTCCAGATTCTGTCTCTGGAATCATCAATTACTGGCAATAGGAAAAAATGCTCCTTGCTTTCTAGTCAACAATAAGCAATTATCTCCGTTAAGAGACAGATCATTGGTCCTGGTACAAGGCAGCTTCCTAGGTTCCTGTTATCACAACCTTGGAACAGTGTTTGTAAAATCAGCTTAGGAGACTCTGTGCCTTAAAGTGCCTTTTGGCTGCTACACTTACCTGATCACAGATCAGCTCCCACTTCTTCTCATTGTCATATTGTCGGAGTAGCCTTGCTTTGTCAGGAGGCAAGTTCATGGCATTCTGTGAAGAAAGAGAAAGCAAATCTGGGTGACCACAACAGACTCTGATAGTTTAGAGAGGTTGCATATGAATAAGCCTAAATGAGCAGAACAACATGGTTGCAGTTATGTGATTTTTTTTTCCCAAATTCATGGTTAACAGAGTTTATCCAAAGCTTTTCAGGAAAAAGAAATTGCAAAAAAGCAATGGAAGATTCCTTCTCCTCCCCAGCCTCTAATCTAAGATATGACTCATGTTGAACAATGTCAAGGTTGAGAGGTTTTTTTTCACGTCAGCTAAAACTAGAGAATGAAGTTGTGGGTAATTCAATGAGAGTTGCTTTTTCTTCTATCCTATCATAATATTACTGCTATATAAAATGCCCAATAATAAATGTCTGCTTTTATCTACTTAGAGGTGCAAGACTGAAATCCATGCACAATTCACAGTTAAAGTAGCATAAGATCTGGTTCACCACCAATGTATACAACATTTAAAAAGAGAGCCACATAAATCTGTTGCAGCAAGAGAGGGAAAAGGCTTGTAGTACGGCAGAAGTAAACAGATTTACATTTGTGGATGAGATTCTATTTTAACCAGAATAAATTAGTGCTCCAAATGGGATTCACTTAAATAGCTCCTTATATAGTATCAAAGTTGCAAATTTAATGAAAATATACAGCGATGTGTATATTTGCTTAAGATAACACGCAAAGAACATTATAGAGCAGGGGTGTCAAACTTGCTGTGTCACGTGATGTGTTGTGACTTTTTCCCCCTTGCTGGAGCTGCGGTGGGCGTGGCTTCCGCAGGAGGCAGTTTGACACCCCTGTTATAGAGCATATGGAAGAAGAAATGTTGTTAAGAGGAATAGTATCCCATAGAGTTCCAAAATAAAACTGCATCAGAGAAGGACAAAACTTGTTCTTTTCCAGTTAAAACAAAAAACCTAGTGTAGCAAAGAAAAGAGAAACAATATAGAAACCAGACATTTCATAAAAAAATTCAATTGCATATATCAAGTCAGACATTCCCTTTATATATAGTTATGCCTGCATTTAATTTACTGGGAGGGGTGAGAATTGGAGAGACTATAATCAGATAGGGTTATATAAAATTTCGCATGGTTTCTCCCTGCTTTACTACTGTTACATTGGTTTTCATCAACCTGGGGCTCTAAAAACAATTGCCAGAATTTGTAATAAAACACACATGAATGAAATAGGATGGCAGATTAGGAAACACAAAGCTCTCTCTCTGTGTCCCTCTCTCTTTTTCTCTCTCAATCTAATCTAATCTAATCTAATCTAATCTAATCTAATCTAATCTAATCCAATCCAGTCCAGTCCAGTCCAGTCCAGTCCAGTCCAATCCAATCCAATCCAATCCAATCCAATCCAATCCAATCCAATCCAATCATCTATCAGGAACTCCAGATTCTGAAGAATCTTCTGTTTAAATACTTTTTCCTGGGAAGACAAAGCAGGAAAGGGCTGTTCTATTTTTTTTTTTCAAATCTGCTCATGAATTCTGTAAAACCTTTAATTGGTTCCTGCTATGTTTTTATACTGAACCAACAAATTAAGTTGTAGCTCTGGAACCTGTTTCTTCAAGGATGAAAGCTGATGATCTCCAGATGTTTTACATACATGTGATGTAATCTCTGACTATTAGCCAAATATAGAAAATGTGTAGTCCAAATTATATTGAGGGTACCAAGTTCACTATTCCTAATCTAGCGATGGGATATACGCTATATACAGCACTGCACAGAATTAAGTCCTTTACATTTTTGGACCTCACTAAATGTACACTTTTCCCTTCCTGTATAGCCCAGGCTACTGTTGTTAAAAGTACATACAAATCTACCCAGGTAAAATTAGGACAATTTTTTTTCTTCCAAAGAGAGGCCTTATTACTATATATATTGCGGATAAGCTGACCCTCAAATTTTTAACCAAAATGCCATGGAAATGCGTCATCTGCCAATGAACTGACCCTTAAAACTTTTCTGTATGTTTATCAGTGGGTGGCACATTTTCCATGGTATTTTGGTTTAAAAAAAAAATCAAGGGTCGACTTATCTGCAGATGAGCTTATCCATGAGATATACATATATATAAAATATACAGGCACTTTTTAAAAGCCGAGAGAAAATAAAAACCTACATAGGGATCATGCAAACTTTACTTCTCTGTTGTGTTAAATCATACTGCTGCAGTGCTGGCAAAGGAATAACTGTGGGCCTACATTTAAAATCTCACCAAAGAAATATCAGCATTAAAATGAGAACATATTAGTCTATTGCAAAGAAGCGGATTATGTTCTGATTTTGGCAGGTCACCATATACAAACTGAGGTTAACAATTTAGATCCTTGGCTTCTAATCTTTTGTCCATAATGATATGGCTCTTCTCATGTGAAAGCAACACAATGAATGTAAATATTGACCGAAAAGCATCACTAATAAAATATTTAAAAAGAAATGATGGCAGGAAAACTTGTCCATTCTTAATCACCTCCCAATTCTGTATTTCATACGGTACATACAACCCCCTGTATCACTTCTGCCCTCTCCCTCTCTGATAATGCTGGACTTTTGGCAGAAATATAGTCACTCCAGATCCAAAGTTTTCTGTGTGGTTATGCTGCTTTCTTTTTCCCAATTTATCTGAAAACAGATGGCTTCCTACCCATATTCTACTAGTATTGAAGGAAGCTTGTAGAACTACATCACCACATGTCAAGAGTCACAGAAGCTTTGCTCTGCTATGCCTGTAGTGGGGAATACCTAGGCCTGAATTGCAATCCCAGGTGGCAGAGCCAATGGTCAGCTATGCTGATGCTGTAGTCCTTCACATCCTGTTTTCCATTCAAACACGATGCCCTCACTTTTACAACCTGCCACTTTCCCAAGATGTAAAAAGCAATAGCATCTACCCTCAACCAGCAACAACGCTAAGAATCTTCCCATGTGGAAATTACAATGAGCACATTAGGGTAGATTAAGATTTCAAGGGGCCACAGCTGCTGCCACCCACCCACCCACCCACACACCCACACACACACACACAGTCCAAACATTGCCACCCATATTACATAAGAATACTAGGATAAGAGCCCCTGATATCATGACAAATAGCTGTTCATTTAAAGCTAGAAATGCCAAAGGCAACATTTGGAAATAAACCTCTTGCCCTCTGCAATGTGGAAGTCAGGGGATGCACGGCTCATAGTCAGAAATTCTAGGCAGATATAAGAAGCAGAATGAAAGCAGAATAATACATGTATTCTGCTTAATGCAAGATATTATCTCAGTTCTGAGAAACTGACTTCTCATCTGTGATTTTCTGGTGTAAAATATTAGCCTAAAATGCTAATGCTTGTGGTTGACATGCTAACATGTCAACCACAAGCTAACTAGAAGCTAACACTACAGGTGCCCCATAAAATGACAGAGCCAATGTTAATAGCATTTGTTTATGCAATTTCATTTCAAAACAAACCATATATATTTTGAAATGATTGTGTTCAAGTGAGTACTAGGATCTTTTTATCTGCCTTTCATCCAAGATAAACTCCAAAACTGACTGAAGTCCAAAGCTGACTGAAATAACGTATATATAATCAAGCCACAAAACAACACTATGCTAATAACAATAGAGATCAGAAAGCCAGATCACTACAGCAACTGTCCCATCTTTCAGATTAACCTTTTATGCAAAGTTTGCACCATTCTAAGGTGGCTTACTGCCTGGGGGGTGGGAGTGGGAAATTTCCTTGGTTGGATATTGGAGTACAACTCTATGATAACATTCCAGGAATTGCCAGAATAGTGAAATTCCACAAAGCGATGCAAGATGAATTACGACCAATGAGCCTCCAAATTTGTGTTAGCGATTTAAGCCAATACAGGCAAAAAAAAAAAATCATCTTTGCATAATATACTTTTTGCAAAACGTCTCCTTACGTTAAAAGTTGAGGAGAAAAGATTCATTGGCAGTTTTTATAAATCACAAAGGATCTTTCAAAACTGGTTTTACCCATTTACCTACCTGGCTGGGAATTAGCAGTATTTTTTCAGGGAATCGCTCATCTTGGATTTTCCAGTTTAGACATGGAGAGGTTCCTTTTAGTGATTCTAAAACCATCAGCTAATTTGGGGCTTTCCTCCCCTCCCCTTTTACTTTCTACTATTCCAGTACTGCCTCCTTAACCTCTTTCCCACAAGTTTATTCCTTTGAATTTTACCAAGAAACTTTTGCACCTCTTCCTGTACAGCACAAAATGATTAATATTTTAGCCTGAAGATGTCTGTGACTTGTCCTCCTTCCTGTAATTCTACTGCCTGGAATTGAGTAACACTGGGAGTCATACTGTACTAAGCTGTAATCATCTTGATCTAAAAGATAAATGGGCAGCATCTACAAAGCCTTCTCTTTGGCTCACTAAAAAGAAGAAAAGTGACTAGACTTCATTTGATGGTACTGCATGTTGCTTTCTCAGGTTCAAGAAATGTTCATCCTGACCCTGAGACTCACTAAGACCACCCAGGCAACCACGTCACAAGTTTTATTTATTTTAAAAAGTAAGAGAGATCAGGAGCATGCATACACAGGAAGTAGACAAGACGATGGTCGCTCCATCCTGATTTGAAGCCCCCCCCTTTTCAATATGTTAATGTCTCACCCATATACAAAGTTTGGTGGGGGATTCAGTTGTGATTCCATGACACCATCTTGCCTGTTTTGATCCTCCCCCCCTGAATACAGTCGAGATTCACCAGTTGCGACCTTTTCTGGACCGGGACGCCTTGCGCACAGTCACTCATGCTCTCGTTACCTCTCGCCTGGACTACTGTAATGCTCTCTACATGGGGCTCCCTTTGAGGAGCACCCGGAGACTCCAACTGGTCCAGAATGCGGCCGCGCGGGCGGTGTTGGGAGGGACTCGTCGCTCCCATGTAACACCGCTGNCGAGCTGCACTGGTTACCAGTGGTCTTCCGGGTGCGCTTTAAGGT